GCTGTCTAGTTCCTTAAAAATATCCCAGCTTATCCGTTTGTTAATGATCAAACCTTGGAAACCCTGGTTCTTGTCCATGGTCCCTATCAGCACTGTAGAGTTGTCAAATGGAGCAGCATTGAAGAGTTTATCAGTGGCAGCAAGAATGGATCCCACAACTACATGTATGTGTTTATCATGAGAGGTGACCGGTGTACATGTATTAAGGGGATGTTCGCTGTCTGCAGAAATAGCTTTATTCAGCACATTAGATCATTAGTTGTCAAAAGAAGGTGTGGCCCTTGTGAATCCACCCATTTGCATTCGCCCCATAGGAACTCGTGCTTGAATTATGTAGTCCAACACTAAGCTACAGCTTTAGATAGAAGAGATAGAGACTCACGTTTTGTTCTACAAGTGGCCTTGTCATGCTAAAATGACGAAGCTACTTGGGTTACACCATGTAGACAAATCAATCACTGTGAGTCACCTTATCCGAAATAAGAATAACGAGTCCATGTAGCGTGAACATCACGTTCACGCTGCAGAAGGTGTGGCCCTTGTGAATCCACCCGTTTGCAGAAGGTGTGGCCGATTTCAATAGAACACAGATTAACCTACCAAATTGCTGTCCCAAAAATGTTCTCATTCTATGTGGCTCTCACATGAGCTTCGAAATGTATTTGGAATGAAAATTTCAAACACAACATTACCCAAAACAGCATTACATTATATCATTAAACCCAAAGATGATACACTGCAACATTCAATAGGCATTAATGGAGATCAAATGGTCAACAAAACATGAATATTTATCGAATACAAACTCACCTCGGGTGATCGTGTGACCACAGGAGTCCTTTCTCCAAGCTATAATTCATGGATGTGTATCCATGAATTATATTAATTATATGTGTCTTCAAGCTATAATTTGAGAAAGAATTACAACCTTATTTATGAATTGATTTATCTCACTCTTCTTCTTCTTAATTTTTTATTTTTTATGACAGCTACACCTTGATCCGGTAGAATTATTTTGAACTGTTCAGTGTCCTCCATCATCGAGTATTCGATTTCCATAAAAAAATATTAATTGATTTCTATCTTCTAAAGAAAATAGATTTGTTGTTCTCCATGCAATATTTTCATTGGAATGGATTAACTGTTGTAGTGGTAATCCATAATTTTGACGGACGTACTTTACCCTTATTTTCTTTTGATTTCTTCTTTTCCATTTCTTTCTTAGAACCACACAAACCTATACATAACAGTAGCAGCCCCGTGGCATTGCTTGCACCGATGATAACCCCTGCGCAGTACCAATCAAGTTTTAGCTTCATATAACTTTCCGTTTGTGTTTCATAGCTTTGTCAATGACGTTTAGTTTCTTTTTTATTTCTTTTGCTTTTTTTTCCATTTCAATTACTCAATCATGCAGTTCCACGTACCTAACAAAAGAGTCTGCTTTTTGTCAGGGATGCACAGTCCAAGTTTAGGATCACCGTATGTCCCGGGTTTACACGCGCATGCAATTGTAGCTGCCGTTCGTAGCAGTACAAATCCCATGCCAAACGTATTTCTAGAGAAAGCTGCATTCATTGATATCTAACAGACCATCAAAAGATTAAAAGTTATGTCTAACAGTGGGATTGAACTTTTGAATTCAATTTTTAGGGATGCTACTATTCATATCCTCCTTGTTTTACAATTGATAATTATTTAAAAAATAATAAAATATTATTTTCTTTTTCACGACCCTTGTATTATTATTTTATTATTTTTTATTTAATAATCCCTTATTTTATCCTTGATGTTGTTTATTGTTGTTGCTTGCCGATGACCTTGCTCGATCTCTCAATATTGTTCTCCTAAGAGGAGGAAGAAGAAGATGATATTTACATCTATTTGTGAGATAGCTTAAAAATATTAAAAAATAAAAAATAAAATTATAAATAGTAAAAATTTAGTTACAAATAGTAATATCCTCTCCTAAAAAGAAGAATACTTCTAACCTGAAGCACATTTCTATCATGTTGATGATTTTCCTAATATTTTTTTTAGTCTCTTCTTTTATAATAAGGTCTTCTATGAATTTGTACAATTGTCTCTTTCTCATTGCCCGAAAAAAATACATTGATAAATTCTGTTTATTCTGTGAAAAATATATGTTTTTTTCCTATTAAAAGTGCCAAGAGAATGATTTTAAAACTATAAACATCACTCTTCTCCGTCAATTGACTAGTTTGATAATACTTATCTTCAAAGGTATCTTGTGTAGCAACGACAATATGAGTTTGATCAAACCGAATAAATCTTGAGGTTCCAAAATCATCCAAAAGATTGTTTGACGACCTAAACATCTGTGTGTAAAATAGATACGGTAACCACTTAGGCAAGTGCTATCTAGTGATGTTGTTAAGTAAAGGTAAGAAGCGCAGCAAACAAATTAAATGTCAAACTTGTGAAGAAGACGGGAGTCATGGGAGAGCAAATTGCACTCACCTTTCGCGTCTCTAGCTGTTGCTCTGGCTTGAAGGACGCCTGCAGGGGTGTTCACAGAAAGAGACAGATTGTCGATATATATGATGTATCGAACCTGCAGTAGCTGTGATGGAGGAGCGAGACTCACTGGAGGGACGAATTGCAGAAGCTCACAAAGGGGTAGATTGCTGATGTAGATGATGATGACTTGAACGGCAGATGCAGTGGTAATTGGCACGACTCAAAAGACGGTACAGCGGTCAGTGAAGTTGATTAGACTTGTACTATGTACACTCAACGTGAACTTCATGTCGGTCGGAGCTTGTACAGCTTCTGTTCCTATTCTAATCGATTCTAGGTTGATAGGGGTAAAAAACTGACTTGACATAACACCCCGGATTTGACGTAATACACCCCCCCACGTCGGACGCCCCGTACGACACATTGCCCCAGAAAGAGCATTAACGACGACGCGACACGCACCCATACCCACCGTACTTGGACCTCCTCGGCTGACCCATCAGGGCCGACCGAGGCAGGCAAACGCACCAGCTGACACCCCCCATACCCTGCGGCGGCTCGGCTCCACACGCAACACCCACGACGACGACAGACGCCACCGGAGGTACGGTCCTGCTCTTGCAGAATGGCCCATCAGGTAACATCAAACCCCCTTCATAAATACCCCCCCGACTCCCAGCCAAAGGGGGCGATCCCTCACTCAAGACAATACTCCCCACTGACTTAATCGTCGGAGGGGTCGGGCCGCGTCACCGACCCAACCTGTGTGCAGGTACCCGATCGTCATTAGCTCAGCGAGGCAGAGTTTTCCAGGCAGGCCCTCGACATCCGCCATCTCCAGGCCTTAGGGAGGGACACATCCGATTCAAGTCATTTGGAGCCCTGAACCAGCCGCGTCGGCCCCAAGGTCGCGGCTAAAAAGTTACTTACCGTAACATAGGTGGTTCGATTTTAATTTTTTATTTAAAACATTAAAACTGATGATTTTGATTCCAAACCGATGATTTCAACTTTAAACTGTTGAAATATTTGTAAAATAATTATATATAAAATATATAGTATAATGACTAAAATGTTAAATTTAAATCAATGAATATGGGTTTGACTCTTGGGAGAGGCTTTATGTTTGATTATGATTTTAAAAATAAAATTATGATTTTTATATTTTAAATTATTTTTTAGGTAAAAATTTTGAGGTTAGAATCAAAACCAAAATAATCTGAATCGGAACCGATACCGATGGTTTCGATTCCTAATTTTGAGAAATCGAAACCGATGATTCCAAAATCATATTTCAGTCTGGTCGGAGCTGTCTCATTCCGTGTGAATATATATTGATGCTAAGCTTCTTTAAATTGGCAAATTTGGCATCCACTATTAAAACTTTCTATTATAAAAGTTGGTCCGTTACATTTTTCTTAGAACAGAGTCTCCTTCATGATTTTGAGATCAATATGGTAAATTGGTGCCAGTCAACAATAATATGACAATTTTAACTAATTGAAGAAAAGAACAGGATATCGAATTGATAAAAGCAACGAGTCCTGTTTCCTTGTTTTCCTCTTGAGTCTAATCAATGCCACCATGTGTTTTCCTTTTTGTCCCATATGTTGGCGATGTGAAATCCTCTTGCATGGTTGACAGTAGAACAAAATAATACAAAGACACGATGCACATTTACAACTACAAAGTATATCAACACAGCAGTACATGATTGAATTCATTTAGATCCTACCAATGAGACTTCTGATGGGTGTACGCGAAGGTTATCTAAGAAAGCATGTCTTTCATTGGTTCTTCTTATTATGATGTTGAAATATACAACTCATTTGGCATGGACCAGAAAAGAGAAACTATCGTATCGTCAGTTACTATTATTATTCTCATATCTATGAAACTAGTATTTAACTGCTAGAATAAGCTTTTCATAAGTTTCATCGCTATAACTATCATTAACACTACAAATTTAAATAAGAGAAAGGTTAAGCAAATATATATATTATGATCAGATACATATACATGATAATATATATGAGCTTTATAAGATACAAACATCCCACTGATAATATTAGTCTCTAACGTTCCCACATGATGATTACACGATCTACACATAAGATACATTCATACACACAAATGTAAACACTAGTACAATTCACACTCACCGTGGGTTATAATGTGACCACATGAATTCTTTTTCTAAGCTATAATTCCTGGATGTCCCTTCGGTTGCTTGGTCAATTGAATCAGAAAAAGTATAAGATGAATCGCTTAGCAGGCACTCAATTTCTTCATTACCTTCAGCAATACGACGTCCTCCATTCTTTCGAATCTTTCTTAGGCTTTGTAGTTTATACTCTACTTCTTTCATCGTAGGCCTTTCGCTTCCTTTAAACTTCAAGCACATTGCTACCAATTGAATAATTTCCATAAGCTCTTGTTTAGTCCCTTCTTTCATAACACGATCTTCCACAAGATCAAAGTAGCGTTTCTCTTTCAGTGCTTGAACAAAATACATTGACAGGTTCTGTTTATTCTCATGTTCGATGGAGAAAATAGGTTTCTTTCTTGTTAAAAGCTCTAGAAGAATGACCCCAAAGCTATAAACATCGCTCTTCTCTGTCAATTGACTTGTTTGATAATACTCTGGATCCAAGTATCCAAAGGTTCCTTGAATACCCGTAACTATATGAGTTTGATCAAGTGGAATGAATCTGGAAGACCCAAAATCTGATACTTTTGCTGTGAAATGATCATCCAAGAGAATATTTGATGACTTTACATCTCTGTGTAAAATAGAAATTGAAGCAGCTGAGTGCAAATAAGAAAGTGCTCCTGCGGTCTCTGCAGCAATCCTCAGCCGAGCTTCCCATGACAATGCAGAACTACCATCTGAAGTATGAAGATGGTCCGAAAGAGCTCCATTTGAGATAAATTCATAGATCAATAAGGGCACTTCGGTCTCCAAGCAGCATCCAAAAAGCTTTACCACGTTTCTATGATTAATTTGAGAAAGAATTGCAACCTCATTGACGAATTGATCTATCTCGCTCTTCTTCACGATCTTTGACTTCTTTATGGCGACTACGCGTTGATCCGACAAAATCCCTTTGTAAACTGTTCCGTGTCCTCCACGACCGAGCACTCGAGTTTCATCAAAATTATTGGTTGCCTTTTCTATCTCTTCTAGAGGAAATATCTTTGTTCTATCAGCAGCATCTTCACGGGAAGAGATGAGTTGTTGTAGCAGTAAACCATGATTCTGACGGAAGTGTTTTTCTCTTATTCTCTTTTGTTTTCTTTTCTTCCATTTCGTCCTCAGGATGATCAAACTCGTACTCAACAGCAATAGGCCCACGCCATTACTTACGCCGATGATGACCCCTGCAAGTTAACACTCAAGTTTTAGCTTTCCCTGGCTCTTGTTAGCTTTGTCGATGGCATTTATCCTCTACTGTGTGAATTGGTATCCAGGACTTACCCAATACAAGAGTATGCTTTTTGCCGGGGATACAGGCTTTTTGAGTAGGATCACCGGATGACCCAGGTGGGCACGTGCAACTATAACTGCCGTTCGTGTTAGTACAAGTTCCATAGCAAACATATTTTTGGGGATTGCGACACTCATTAATATCTGACAATGCATCAAAAATATTAGCAATGCTTGAGAAGGAAATTTTAGAAGATAATTGCAAAAAGTAAAAAGAAGTCTGTGAATGCGGAAAGCTCGAGCATTTCTGTTGTATGTATGCATGAAGTAGATGCTGCTTACATGACTAATATTCTTCATATCAAAGAGGGAGGGAAAGAGTTCGAAGTACCTTTACATCCATTACGGAGATATGGATTTCCTTCGTATCCAGCTTTACATTGGCAACGATATCCTAAAATTTTCTGACCATTGCTACTAATTTTATCGTCGTTACATGAGCTGTGTTGGTCGACACATGCAAATGTAGTCATGTTCAGCTTAGCATCCTCGCAGGACTGGTCTGTGATTATCCAATTCAAGATGAATCGCTCTCCGAGACCAATGAAAGGTTGATTTTCATCAGCGAAGGGAAAGTAGTAACGAAAGTTTTTTATCTTGACTTCCAATGTCCCTTCCTCCAATGATAAATTTATCACTATGAAGTGGTCATGGAAGAGGAGAGTGTGAGGCTCAGTTGTCCTGTTGCATGTCAGAAAAAATGATTGGTCTCTGTAGCAGTCCTCTTCCACCCCAAATGGAAAGAAGATGTCAATATCCCCACATTTTGTAGAACAGTTATTTGGCGGAGATGGTCTGAAAGTTACATCTGTTGAGATGATCAAAAGTCAGCACCGGAATTAATACAACATAATTTTTTTTAATGTATAAATATATTTATATATACAGAGAGATAAGGAAGGAACGTTGTTACCTTGGCAACCATTGGGTATATAGGGATAGCCTTGATAACTTAATGAACATTGACATATGTATCCAATAGTGTAGTTTACATGGACTTCATTAGGAAAGACATTGTAGCAATCACTGTTATGACTACGACAAGCGTAAGTGGTCTTATTCTTGTTAGCCTCTTTACATGTACTGTGGTCGTTAATGTACCAAGCTAGGGTGGCCACCGCTTCTTGTGTTTCCGTCCCATTCAGTATTCCTTCGATATTCTTAGTAAAATTATTCCAACTATATATGAAGCCCTTAATGATAGAGGAATTAAACAAATGATGTTCAGTATTATTCAGTCGAATTAATCGAATCCCCAAATAAGTCAAATTCGCAGCATTCCACTCAAACATGTCAAATGTACAATATCCCATATCAAATGAGGGCCAATATTCATGTGAACTCGAACTATTGGGACGACATGTAGTTGTGCAAGTATCAATGGTGTTATTGGTAGCAAGATCAACTAGATCGACAATAGCGCTGCAACCAACGACATAAATCTCGTTAGATGTCAATGATTCATAGTAACCGGCTGTAAAGTTTCCCATCAAGTTGAAAGAGAAGGGGAAATTCCTCAGATCAATCAATGTGTCGTTGATATATTCCTCGTGGACTTCCATGGTGACAATTGGAGTTTTCACGTACACGTTTCCATTGTCCATATCAAAATCGATGACCTCAACGGTGCCATCGCCCAAGAAGAGGCTACTAGTAGGAGGATCAGTGGAATGGCTTATGCAGGTAAGGTTAAAACCTGGCCGAAAGCATCCGCTACCTATACCGAAAGGGTACTCGAAGCTGATGTTACCACAGCTTTTTGCGCAGTTGGAAGGGAGGGGAAAAGTTATGTCTGTGGATGTATTTTCTGCTCCTGTTGAACCCATTGGTCCCAATGTCAGAAACAGCAAGAGCAGCACCGCTGCTAACCCCATCCCTTCTCTTCCCTCACTCGAACACCAACGTCCAGATGTTACCAACCTATTAGAAAAAGAGAGTTAGGCTTAGTTAGGAATGCGTACTTAGGTTGGCTACATGGACAATATTTATAACACGAACTGATAACACCATAAAGTTAATTAGTGGAAAAGTCGATTTCTGTGACACCAGAGCACTTCCATATCGATCAAATATGGTAGTATTGAAATCTTAAAGATTTTCTGCAGCCCAGGAAAAGCATCCCCAGCTTGCATGTGTATACATTATTAATTTATATCAGTGTCCATTATACATAAATATTTACCGGTTTGATAGTAGAGTGATGATAACTTGTGTGACCCAGGGCTTATAGAGAATGAGCAGGGGAACTCTGAAATCACGTGGGATAAAGAACGGGCTTAATGAATTCTAATGTACCAATAATCCTCGGATAGGTTAGGGAGGTTCTCTCTAATGAATCAGCCAGGACGGGAAGCAAACGGAGGCAGAGGGAAAGAAAGGGAAATCTTGTATACATGGGACAAAGAACGGGCACATGTTTCTTTTTTGACATTAATCTAAGAACACCTTAAAAAGCAAATTGGTTTAATGATATAAGAAATTGGAAGAACAACCATCGATAGCTCTACTAACCTTCGCATAGCATCAAGCTTAGCAACTCTCTTCACCTTCTCCTCTCCGCTTCTTGCTCTTACACGGTCGAAACTGTTGTAGTGCACAGATTGATTCTCGATGTAGATAAATAAAGCTGGGGAAATAATTAGCGTTAGACTGGCGAACGTATTGACTTGGTATGGATTGGTACGTGTTTGGATTTCTCAGAGACGTTCCATCGGGCATGAACAACGATGTTATACATTTCTCGGTTTTATCGTATAAGTTAAATTCCTTGAGAAACAATGATTCCACCGATTTATCTAGCTGAAGTATGTATTATCTTATTTCAATCTGATTGGCCTTACTAAAACTTTAGTCAGTATATAATGGCAATCCACCTCAGAAAAGTGAATCGAGAGTCGTCCATTTGCAGGATGTGATGTGATTTTCAGTGAGTCATTTGAATATAATAATGGAATAGTGGAATATTGTATTAGTTGTGAACATTGCCGTTGACATGTCAACGTGGCGCATTGACTTTGGATTACGTGTATTGTTCACATACACATACAATACAATGACATCACTCATGGGCCCAGTGTTTTATTTTCCTCGAAAGATCTAATCACGTGGTCTTCGCAAGACTTTGACTCTAATTTTTCCTTCAACGACATAGCGAGTTGTATAATGGACTGGTATGAAGAATAGAATGATGTAATTTTCCTCGCCAAAAGAAATAATACTTCTTGTATTTTTCTTGACTAGAGGTATCTTAACCTTTGAGATAGCACATACTATAAGATAAATATGAGTAGCAGCACAAGAGGGTTTGAAACGTGTTGACATCAAAACGGATTCCGATATGAACATCCTCAACCGATATATTTCTTCACCTTGGTTTTGCTGAGTGTGAATTCACACATATATTTTGTAAGAAAAATAATATTACTAATTGGTTTGCTTTGACCCATCCAATGTTCTTACAGGAAGGAGTGTTCGACCCAACCTCACTCCATCGGACTGCCTCATAATAGTTGGGTCCTCACTGCCTACCTTCTATAAAATTCTGCCCATAGCAGTCGACAACAATCTAATTGGGACATTGGGTAGATTTTCTCAAACGTATTTGACTTTCCAATTACGTGTGCACCACGAAATCTCCCGAATGAAAGTATCACATCTGTCACCGCAGTTCACCTGGTTCGGACAATTTTCTTTTTTTGAAGATTTTTTTAATTTACCCAAGATAATATCTGTCTCTTATAAATTAATCCTCAATCTTTCATCATGTGCGATTGTCACGAATCCACCTAACAAGATTACCAACATATTAACTTCTTTATATCTAAACTATTAACTCAAGGTACTTAAGCATATTTAGCAGTAATATATCTATCACATAATTTTTTTACACCTTGTTAGTTGATACTATCTTTGTATTCAAGTTTATGTTAATTTAGATTCAAAGGCTCCAGAAATCTAACTTCACTTACCTTCTAACTATATATGAGTTGATCTCGATGCTACGATGAAAAAGAAAATAATGAATAAACAACCCATTATTACTGTAAATGGATTGCTATCTATATTTATATATATGGGTGATGAACAACTAAACCGTGTCACATATTTTAAAGATCATATGTTGAAGATCATCAAATTAGAAACTAAGATGATGCTAAAGTACTCAATTGAGAATAAAAGTGTCAATTGAGAAATAATGGTTGGCTCCTCAACTGACCATCATTTTCCATAGAGGATAATCACAGTTTTGAAATAATTCGTTTGACATAGAAAATGATATATTAAATTGGATCATGACTCTGTAGACTTCGCCCTTTCTTGCCAACTTCCTGAACTTAAAAGAAAAGAAAATGACACGATATTAAATTGATGAGTAGCCTAGAAATTCCAATTGATGTTAACGTAATATTTCAATAACTTGTATCTTAGAAAGACAACAAGGTAGACAGTTTAAACCGCCTCAATAGATCATTAGTCGTTAATGCAGCAACACGAGTATATCTAGCGTGAACATCACGTTCACGCTGCAGAAGGTGTGGCCCTTGTGAATCCACTACTTTGCATTTGTGCCACAAGAGCTCTTGCTTGAATCATGTAGTCCAACACCAAGCTACAGCTTTGGATAGAAGAGACAGAGACTCACATTTTGTTCCACAAGTGGCCTTGTCCTGCTACTTGCGTTACATCATGTAGACAAATCAATCACCGTGGGTCACCTTATGCGAAATGAGAATAAAAAGATCAATGGACTGACTTCCACCAAGTCTTTGCATCGCTCCCTGATGTGGTACGCATTGATAAAACAAACCAGAGCTGTCTGATAAAACAAACGTATAATGTGCATATACTGAACGAAAATTGACTTAACACAAGCTCATCACCCGCGATTTCAATAGATTAACCTACCAAATTTCTGTCCCATAAATGTTCTCATTCTATGTGGCTCTCACATGAACTTTGAAATGTATTTGGGATGAAAATTTCAAACACAACATTACCCAAAACAGCGTGACATTATATCATTAAACCCAAACTCAAAGATGATACACTGCAACATTATATAGGCATAAGTAGAGATCAAATGGTCAACAAAACATGAATATTTACCCAATACAAACTCACCTCCGGTAATTGTGTGACCACAAGGGTTCCTTCTCCAAGCTATAATTCATGGATGTGTACCATTTACTTACACACAATATAATGACATTACTAGTGGGTCATGTTGTTTCATTTTTCTTCAAAGATCGAATCACATGATCTTCCCAAAACTGAATCTGATTTCTCTCTCGGCAATGTAAGGAAAACTTTAAGTTGTTTGAAGGGCTCTGTCCTCGTTTGAAGAATAGAATGATGTAACTCAAGCTTCTTTATCGATGAACATGATGGTGGAACTAATACAAAGAACTGCAAGTCATCACTTGAGAAGGAAAGACGATTGATATGGAAGACTAGACTTGGAGGACACAAACTCCTTTATATATATATATATATATGTATATATGTATATATATGTATATATATATACATATATGTACATATATATATATATATATAAG